TTTTGGTCGCTTACAGGAAACGCCGGAATTTCAAGTTTTCACCGGACGAATTTGAGGAGCGGAACGGAAATGGTCCTCCCGTATTATTGTTCCTGAATCGGTGAGCGTGATAGCGGTTTGTCGTCTTTGCTTTAATATTTATTTATTGTTCAGAGTCTTTACTTTTGTTCGTCCAGTACCTAACGAGCAGCAGTTTATGGGGATGTTTCGGACTCGGGTTCGGTTCGTTCCGGGACAAAAATTTATTTAAAAAAATACATTTTAAAGCAACATATGGTTTGTTGTTTTCACTGTAATTAGGCAGATAAAGCTGCTGCGTGTCTGTAAAACTGATTCATCTTGACTTGAAGTCAGATTGTTGGTGTTTAGGAAAACTTCCAGTAATGGACTTAGACAGGAGGAGAGACAGCCGGGGACGAGACTGGGACTGGGACAACCCGCACTGTCGAGCCCAGCTGGATGAGATCTTTTTCCGTCAGAATGACTACATCCAGGCCGGCAGCCCCGAACACAAAGAGTTCTGGGCTTTTTTTGACCGTTTTCAGAGGTTCAGAACAAAAAGAGACATGTGTGGATCCGGGAAAGAGGCCAGAGAAGAGGGGAAGGAAAGAAGGAGGACTGAAGATCTTGGACTTCCTAAAGAGTACGACGCTCGGTACCGGATTAATGTGTCTGTGTGTAGCAGGGACATCGAGGAGCGGCTGGGGAAGTCGGACCACAGAAACCGGCAGAGATCCTCAGGACCAGGGTCTCAGGAGATCTCAGACTGTCGCCTGACTCTGCTGCACTTCCTAGACTTCAGCCAGAAGCAGAGCTTCGGGAAGCTGGCCAAGCTTCGCCGGGAGCAGAAGAACCTGCCCATCTTTCAGTACCGGGACCGGATTGTGGAGCTGGTTCGACGACACCCTGTGGTTGTGGTGGCAGGAGACACGGGCTGTGGGAAATCCACCCAGGTGCCTCAGTACCTCCTCTCGGCCGGCTTCAGCCACATCGCCTGCACTCAGCCGCGGCGTATCGCCTGCATCTCTCTGGCCAAGAGGGTCAGCTTTGAGAGCCTCAATCAGTTTGGATCCAAGGTTGGTCCTGATCCCGAAGGACGGTCATGAATTCCAAACATGATTCACAAAACGTTCTCCTGTTTCTTTCAGGTTGGGTACCAGATCCGCTTTGAGACCACTCGGACCACGGCCACCAAGCTGCTCTTCCTGACCGAGGGTCTCCTGCTGCGACAGATCCAACAGGAGAAGTCCCTGTCCCAGTACCAGGTGATGATTGTGGACGAGGTCCACGAGAGGCACCTCCACTGTGACTTCCTCCTCGGGGTCCTTCGCTCTCTGCTGGAGGACCGCCCGGACCTGCGGCTCATTCTCATGTCGGCCACCATCAACATCAAACTCTTCTCTGAGTACTTCAACAGCGCTCCTGTGCTGCAGGTCCCAGGCAGGCTGTTCCCCATTCAGGTAAAACAACACGTTCAAAGATAAACACAAGCTAAAGATTTTATGTTCCTGTTAATTCAAATATATTATTAAACGTAGAGACGACATTTTCTGTAAGAACAGTTTGAACAAGAGCTGAATGACTGCAGAAGATGAAACTAAGTTAAAGCTGAAAGAAACAGAACACTAGCTAAAATCTAAAAGCAGAGTTTTAAAGTAACTAAGTACAAATACTTCTTTACTGTACTTAAGTAGAATTTTTGGGTATCTGTACTTTACTTGAGTATGGTAATTATTTTTCAGCCTACTTTTTACTACTTCTTACATTTTCACACAATTATCTGTTTTATACTCCTTACATTTAAAAA